AAAAAAAGAAGAGAAAAGAGAATGCCCGAAACTTTTGTGTTTCAAGACCCAACAAAAATATCTGAAATGTATTCTCAGCCTGTCAACAAATATTTCAATGAAGCCTCGATATCATCATTAGAACCAGAACCATTGCTAGTGCTAATGGAAGATGTTAATAGTTGCACTGTTTATCTTCGAAGTTGGGATTCTCATTATAATCATTGTATAAGAGAAATCAGAAACCAGGAGTACAAAATGTTAAAACTTATTTATTCATTATCTAAAGTTTTTTTCAAAATGTTAAAGATTTGTAATCAAGAACAAGATAATGAAAAAGTGATAGAGAAAAATACAGGTTATTGGAAGGAGAGGAATATTAAATCACAAATAAACAAACTCTGGAATATTAGTTCATGTTCAATGCTAAAAAAATGGAAGGGATATTGGAGACTATGCTATTTTCTTTGGGTGACAAATATTACACCCAAAGAAATAGTCGACGTAAAGTTGGATTCAAATTTTTTTCTTTATGCTACAGAAGATGAATACAACTTTCTCATCAAAAAATTATTAGGGAAAGAATTCTCTAATTTTTCAAATATTAAAGGTGAAAAAATATTGGACTTAGCAAATATTGCTAAAAAAGTTTGCAAATAAGATACTTGATTTTTTTTAAAAAAATCTGTAGTTAGTTAGAATTTTGCTGATAGCTACATTTATATTTTTCTGAATATTTTGCTTTATTGTATTTAAATTTGAGGATGTAAGGCATGTGATCACAAAGCTTAATGTTAATTCTTTTATTGTAAAAATTTAATTTCTTTCTGAAAAATATCACATGATAAAATAGTCACATTATTCCAGTGCTAGTTTTATAATGTTGATATAATTTATTCTAACATTAGTATAATGTCGATATCGATACGTAACTCGGTAAGCTTTTAACTCTTAATTTAATATTAGACTTATCAGGATAAAAACTAAATTGAACTCCTATAGCCATGGGAGGCCGTCGGAGTTCAAAAATTGAGTAAAAAAATTAAAACAAATTCTCACAGTGTGAATTAACTAACGTTAATTAATGTGAATTAGCTATTGCTACAGTAAATTATGTGAATTAACTATTGGGCAGATTATAATTTACTTTATTTTTTATTAAAAAACTATTATTCAAGAATTCAAGGTTTGGATCATATCTTTCAAATACTAAATTCATAGTATTATTGATAGCTTCATATTGCTCCATTGAAAATTTAAATAAGTAGTCATTTTCAATACATAAAATAGCATTTTTTGTGCAAATAGACTTCCAAATTTCGCTGTTGAAATTTTATAAAGCAATAAAATGGGTCAGTTATGGGAAGTTCTAGAAGCTTTTCCTTTATTTTGCCAAGGTCTTTTAGCTTTTTAAAAAACCATTGTAGCTTGGTATTCGCCTATAATTTGAATATATATTAATTTAAAATATTAATAAACTAATAAATCTAAAAAAACTTACTGGAAATTTTATATATAATTCGATAATTTTTCTTTTTTTTTAATTTCTGCTTGTAAAAGAATTTCTTTAATCTGAACTTCTGAAATATTTTTCAGATAATTCATAATAGTTATTAGTTGTGCTCTATCAGTGCAAGAATATATAGTAGTCTGCGTACTTGATAGGACATCTGTATTGTAATGCTCTAGATTAAAAATTAAAATTCCAATACTAATGCTAAAAAAACTCAATATAATTTGTAACCTAAGTTGTGCTTGAAATCTTACCAGTATGTAGTTTGGTAATATCTATCCAAAACTGAGGAATTTTGTATTTCGTCTAGCTTGAAAGTTTTTTTTTACATTAAATATAGAAAGGACATTTTTATTAAAATTTTATTCGAAAAGAATAGTATAGGTGGTTGGTGATTTCAACAATGAGCGAGTTTTTGATTTCAATTATGAATCATTAGATTAGTTATTTAGAATCAACTAAAGTCGTAAGGCAAGCCTTCTCAAATAATTAGAAGTAAACAAATTAGTTATATTTATAATTTTTATAAAAAAATATTTATTAATACAATTTATATTACTGTTTTAAATACTGTACAGTATGTAACAATCAACAAAGCAATAAATAAGTTTGTGCAGAGCCAAAATAATAAAACTTTTGAAAATAAAATTTAAAAAAAGCCTTTAAAACTTAATAGACTCATACAAATTCATAAGCTATTTTTTAACCATAAAAAATTACTCGACATCACTATCTTACACAATCCAATAACTATATAGTTGAAATTTTCAATAAATTATAATATTGTTCTTTGTATGTACGAAAAAAATAATGCAAGTAACACATCTCTGCAATCACAATTTAAAATATAAGGTTCTTATTTTTAATTCTTTGAAATAAAATATGCGTTAATATTACATATCAATAAAATTTTCATTTTCATAAGATCACATGATTTAGCAGTTTTATGGGACTGTAAAATTATATGATTTCTGACACTAACCTCTGAATCAAAGATTCATCGAATATGGGAGTTTTGTGACTGGCTCCAGTGTCATCCAAAAGATTTTTTAAGAACTGGTCGTATTTTTTGTTTTCACATATCATTAAATATCTGGCCGTAATTCCAGATTCTATAAGAATTGATGCTGGACAATGCGTTATGTTGAGTAGCTCTATAAGCCTTTATGTCCCTCTCCAATATTTTCTCTTCTGTTTATCGTTAATATTTAAAATCGATTTGATCTTTTCTACAACAAAATGACGCAGAGTTTTCTGAGTTGGAAGCCTTGTCATCTTTTGTTCATATCCATTTGATAGCATTACGAGTAGTGTTAGATATGCACCCCTAAGTTCATATAACATTTCTAACATTTTCTCTTTTACTCGAGTTTTTGTTGAATTAAGTATATCATACTGCAAAGACCATTGTTTAAAATAGTTCTCCAATGATTTGATATTATTTATCGAGTAAGATGGTAATAAAGCAGAAAAATTAATTACTTTGTTATAATTAAAAATATCATTGGAATTTGTGGTTAAGAGAACTTCAATTGAATTTGTGGTTAAGAGATCTTCAATTGAATTTTTTAAAAAAAGCCTATCTCCATATACTATTAATTAACTATTTTGAAAGTTTTTAAAGTTATTTTTTAAGAGAAGGGCCCTATTCTTTTCAATTTTATTTATAGTGGCGTCTAGAATTTTTCTAGAATTAGTGTATTAGTTTAAACTTGAGTAAATTCTTTTAAACTTACCAATTAATTTCTCTGAATCATACACTTTTTCATCCACTAATTACGATATAAGTATATAAATTTATGATTTTGAATGTGTAGGTTTGAGAATATGAAACATATATAAACTCATACCATCAGAATTAGCTTCAGATATTCTTTTTTTTACTCTTTTTTTACTTGATGAATTCAAATGAATTATTCATTTCCTTTTTTTTGATATCTTTAAAAATTTTATAAGTAAAAAAAATGTATATTTTGGAAAATCTAACGAATCTTATTAGTTTATTATTATGCAGAAATTCAGTATGATCTTTAGTAGAACTTGAACCTTTTTATTATTAAATTAATCAATACCTTAAAATTAAAAAATTTGCAAATAATATTTTTGCAACAATAAAGTCTATATAAAAATTTCATACAGTATCAGTACTTGTTTCGACGTTAACAATATCAGGATGTGAAATGTTTGTTTCATTACTAGGATAGTTGCTTTGGGTTACAGATGGCTTATAGAAATTGTTTAATTAGTATGTAATAATTATTCATAAAACTAACTCATTTATAATGGTTATCATTATTTCGCTGATGCTGAGTAAGGAATCATTATCTGTCAAATCTGAAGGAACGCATTCTATGACCTTTAAGTAATTTGAAATAGTTTAGAAATATTATAATAAATTAAAACTAACTTCATATTCATTGGGCCATTATTTTTTTTTACCTGCTGCCTTGAATCCAATATATCAAAGATTAATTTATCAATTTCACATGATGTTGATTCATGCTCTAATCATAATAGAAGATATATCAATCTGCAATTTTGAATATGCAGGTTTGAAAAATATATTTACTAACATACCATCAAGATCAGCTTCAGTCGGAGAATATTGTATTTTTTGTTTTTCCTTCTTGTTATATAATATATCCGAAATGTATTTCCTTTTTTTTGATTTCTTTTTAAAAAAAATTTATAAGCAAAAAATTGTCTGTGTTAAAAAATTTAACTAAAATTTCTTATCAGATTATTACCGCTCAAAAATTCAGTATTAGCAGTAGCGGTAGGAAATGAATTGCTAGTTTGTTCCATAATGTTGGTACTTAAACTATTCTTTTGTTTGAAATTTTATTATTAAATTATATTAATATCATAGTATTTAATAGTATCACCAAACAATAATTTGTAGTGGTAAAAAAAATTTCATACTGTATCTACACTTTCAATTAGGATATATGGATATTGTCGAATATCATTTTCCATTTCGTATGTATACTTTAAATAATAAAAATAGTTAAACATCTTACTCACAAATTTACTATTGATCATTAGTAAAACTAACACATTTATAACATTTACAAATATTTCATTAACGCTAGGTAAGAAATCTTCTGTCAAATTTGAAGGAACTCTTTCTATAAAGTTGTTAACAGGTTCATCGTTGGCCTTTAGAAATACAAAATGGTTTAGAAATATTAAAATTGGCGATGAAGGTTGTAAAATATATATTGAGTTTATCATAATCAAGTTATATTTATTCACCTTATCGACTTTTCCAATTTTAGAATTATTTTTTTCAATTTTATTTTTTGAATCTTTAAATTGGTTATTTATTTGAAATTTGTACTTATCGTCAGAGTTACTTTTCGTTATCTCATTAAATCTTTGTTCATCTGCTTCTTCTGTCGAGTCATAATACTCATCAGATTGTGGGTTATCATATTCCTTTTAATGTTAATTATTAAGTTATTTTTATTGTAGTTATTAAAAAATGAACATGAGATTGATTCTTTAGCGATAATTAAAATATTTAAAAAATAATTAGTCAAAAAATAAAACTTGTTATCAGTAGAAATAACCAAAATCATCATACTCACCATCAATCTTAATTTTATATTTTAATTTTTCGAGTTTTCAATATTATTTAATTTTTCAATTAGTAATTCCTCTACATGTAATTTTACCTGAATACTAGAGTTCAAATCTTGTGTTTCATTTTTTTGATCCTTCTCGATAGCATTAAATGATTGCTTCTAAAAATTTTCATTAAATGTTATCTATATTAAATTAACAGACAAATTTAAATACTTACATCACTTTCTTCATAGTTTAAGGGTTGGGCTACAGAGTCCAAACCTTGAATTTCATTTTCTCGATCCTTCCCGATAGCATTATCCTAAAAATTTTTATTTTAAGTACTAAATGATAACTATATTAAATTGCTAAATAAATTTTTAATACTTACATTGCTTTCTTTGTAGTTTAAAGTTTGGTCTACAGAAACAGAAGCTTCTGAATCATCTAAAGAACTTGATTTTTTATTTGTACAGTCTTCCTCCATTTCAAAACTAGAACTTTGAGTTGCACTTTCTTGAAGCCTTATTTCTACTTTGTCAATTGTAATAGGTTCTTTTCTGTTAGATCCATCAACCACATTTACTATATTTCTAAAAATTTCTTCATTTATAAGAACCACTCCTGGCGCATCCAAATTTAAAATAGTTTTGTTGCTATTATTTAAGGTTATTGTTACTGAGTTTAATAGATTATTGAAAGTAATAGTAACAACTTTGCCTTCAGTTGCTTTCCAAATATGATTAACAGAGTTTTTAATTATTTCTTCTTTATTTTCAACAGTCTGGATTATTATTATTTTAGTTAAGGATGTGAGATTTTTTAAAAAGATAAAATCAATATATATAATTAGGTAACGATTCATAAATTTACGTATACGGTCATTCTTTGAAAATATAATGATTCATAACGATACCAATTCAATTGTTATTTATATCTTTATTAAAATTTGATTAGACTATGATAATTTTGACTATTTCATTATTTTTACTTCATGATAGTATAATTTTGAGATAAGAAAAAAGAAATTTAAAATAATTTAAAATAATTTAATATATTACCTGATTTGAAAAAGTCAATAATTAATTTGTTTATACTAAATAATTTTGACTATTTCATTATTTTACTCAATAATTCATTTTTTAGATCCTTTATTACTGAGCTTTTTATGTTATCCACTGGATCAATATAAAATATTTTTTTGATTTTAATCCAGGATATCTCCAGGACGCTAGTGGCACACTTTGATCCAATATATTACATAACATATAATAGGCTTTAAAAGATTCTTCAGGATACTTTTATATACTAATAATTATAAGTACCTAATGCTTAACATTTCGCCAGAACCAACATTCATTAAAAAGTAATTTAGCCAAGCTACTGGTATATTAAGCAAAGTAAATAAAATTCATGATCATAACTACCTGAATTAGCCGAAGAAAAATTTAGAGAAGACTTCAATCTCTGATACAGTTCTACCACTGGCAGTCAAAAGGCCATTGGAAGTCAAATCATTAGGCTTTTACCATAAAATCTAGCTTACTGTAGGTGGTGCAACAGTACACATGCTATGTTCAAATATAACAGTAATTTATGCAATACATCCCTACTTATATCAAATTCTGCTCAAAATTATATCGAATTCTGCTCAAAATTAGAGATTCTAATTTTGCCCAACTTTGTACTTAATTCTGCCTAAATAATTTATATTCTAATTCTGCCCAAATTTATACTCCAATTTTACCCCTAATTCTGCCAAAATTTATACTGTAATTTTGCCCAAATTTATAATCAAATTCTGCCTAAATTAATAATTTCTATCTTAATTTTGTCCAAATTTATATTCTAATTTTGCCCAAATTAAGCTCTAATTCTGCCAAAATTTATACTCTAATTTTGCCCAAATTTATATTGAATTCTGTTCAAATAAATCTACTCAGTAGCATTAATTCAAAAACTCACGTGTTTAATATTATTTTCAGGAAAAGTTTTCTTGTATTTTAATCTTATTAAATTTCTTCAACAATTTTTTAGCTAAATTAATATTTGGCATATCGATATAAGTTTATTTTTTATACAATATAGAGTTCACAAACTTAATACAGTAATATCAATATATATTAAATTCAAAAGTAATTTTTTAAACCCAGTAAATTTTTTAAAATAAAAGTTTTAAAACTAATTTGCAATCATATCTAAGATACTTAAACTTCCAAACTTTATTAAATTCATTACAAGTAAATATAAATGCTTTTTACATTAACATGGATATAGTAGTATTAAATAACATAGTCATTCTGTTAGTTGCAAAATGCAGATATTTACATAGCAACACAATTCAAGTTCAATTTCAAGTCGACTTATCAGGCATGATTACATCAATTTTGTTTTAGCTATACTGTCTGTTCCAAGCACAGAACAAGGAAAAATTGTCAAATCAACCACTTTACAAATGACGAGAAAAAGCGAATGAACAAAATCCAATATAAAATCCTAGGAGAAATAATAATTGAAACAGCATTATTAATAATATTTTTAACAAAAATAATACAAAAAGTGCAGAAAAGGAGAATAAATGAAATGAGTCGGTTTTCCACATAATGATAATTTTTGAACTTACATGTCACGTGTATATTTTAGCATTGGTAGATGCCAAAATAAGTCATGTGATCAGTAAGCAAAATAAAACTACCCCAGTATCGCCATTAAATTTTCACTTTCATGTGATGATTATCCAATAGCGAGTTTTGTTTTAATGTACCGTTACATGATCAGGAAGATCAAAACAAAATGTTCGCTTTTCAAAAATCGCTTATTTCTCAAAAACCTGCATAAGAAATCAACTTTTGCGCTCTAACAAAAAAAATTCCTTGAGTGATTTTACTATTATTTCTGTAA